AACCCTGGCCCCGTCTGATCCCATGATATTCTTCATTTTGCATATTTCTCGCGGTTTTCGATGACAAAAAATGAAAATCTCTCCCTCCGCCCATTATATAGGCTCGCGCCATTTCCGGCACATGCTAATTGATTACTAACAAAGTGGGTGCTCCATTTTCTATCAAAAACTTAATTTTAACGTCGAAATGAGCATAATTTGCAAAATCTGATCTGTCTGCAGTCATCTCAGCGCCATTACGTACCTAATGACGTATCATACGTTGCTTAAAACCCCTTCCCTCTCGAGATATCCTCCGGACACCCTGACGGAAGTTGCATGCAAAGTGGCACACACACACAAACACACAGACACTATTTTTTTATACATAGTAGGATACTTGCCAATTCGCAAATCTCCAGGTGATCCTCCAGTTTACAGGAATGCAACTCCGATTTGCACGTTCGACAGCTGGTCATAGGACAGACTGGAAAACGTTTTAAACCCTACGAAGGAGTAAAAATTAAAGCAGGCCCTCAGCCCGGTTAAACCTACCTGAATATGAGCAGCTAGCAGTGAAGCAGTTCACGCAATGGAGATGTTCTCGTAAAATGGCCTCAAAATCCAGGGGTAGATCCACTTCGTCTTCATCTTCAGAATCTAAAAAAATTTACCAAAAAGCGAATAAATTACCTTCCAGGACGCTGTTATCATAAAAACCGATGGGAATAATAGAACCAAAGCCTGTCATTTTAGAAGGTTTTAGAAATCCTAAAAAATCCTGCAGTTATCAGCCAAAGATTTTCCAAGACGGAAAAGCCGGGGCACTGCCCAGCTGGGCTTCAATAAATCAATCGATATCCCGGGGATCCGGGTAAATCTTGAGAAGAGCGCCTGGCCCTTTGGTGCTCGGGACGAACGAGCCCAAACGCTAAAGGTTTTTATTCGTTGCTACAGAGTTGCTAGCGGGGGGGTATTTTTCTTCCCATGCCCACCTGTTAATAAATACGTCGTGTTTTTTTTAATGTTTTTGGTAGTTTTCGTTCCTGGAAAGTTACAAAACTGCCCTAAACATTTTTAAAAGATCGTAATTTTTTTATATCTTTGGTCATTTTGATACTTTTTTGACCAAAAAGCCACGATTTTCCAATATGTATAATGTTTATGATCTGTTCGCTTCTAAACACGGCGTGAAATGTTATAAAAAGATTTATATTTTGTTATAGGACCGAGCGGAATTACTGGATAAATGGTTTTTCGTCTTCTATAAATCCCCCCCTGTGTTTGTTAATCAGACCAGTACCTTCTATTTCATCAAAAAGTCCCACTTTGTTTTGCCGATTCAACAAAACACAACGTCAAACGATTTATTGCAAAGCGGCGTGCAACCAAAGAAACCATTGACAAAGTGTCGCGATGAGAATTACCCGTGGGGCAAAAGTATGTTTTGGTGGTATTTTAAAGTTATAAAATTGAGTGGTAGAGGGGATACTGTAAAAGCAAGAGCAGCTCTAAAACCGTCAATATCATACATGCTTAAGCAGATGCGTGAAACTCGTAGCGGTAAAAACACCAATAAAAAAGCTCGAAACCAGAATGCTTTTTCAAATCTCGTGCCATACAAATGCGAATATAGGGAAGAACATGGAAATGTTAAGGGGCTGGGGATCAATGGAAAGCTAGAAATTACATACATTTCAGAAATAAGGGGCTTGAAATACAAAATGCGCTTAATGACGCCGCCAGCTGGGCTGGTATTTGGCCAACGAAGATCCGTTCTTGAATTGACACCACGAGAGGTCCATGTCGGCCATCGCCACCGACATCGGCCACACCATCGTCGTGACGGCAATCTGGAAAAGGGTAAATGTTGAAATGACGAATATTGATTATGCTGAATTGAAAAACGCAAATTTTTATAACGCTGAATTTTCATTATCGCGAAATGTCGGAATCATAAATTTTCAGTATGCCGAATATTCATGATGCTAATTCTGATAATGCCGAATTGTCACTATCACGAATATTTATTATGCAGGAAATTTAAAAAGGCGAATTTACATTATGCCGAACTTCAAAATCGCGTATTTCAAATTCCCGAAATATCATAATGCTAAACTTCAAATCCCGGATTTCATAAAGGCGAATTTTCACAATACCGAAATATCATAATGCTAAGCTTCCAATCCCGAATTTCATACACGCTCATTTTCATACTCCCGAAATACCATAATGGCGACTTTTCCCTATGCCGGATTTCATAACACCTAATTCTAAACATCGAATTATTCCCAAAAATGTCGAAATTTCATAATACCGACCCTTCATGATCCTGAAATTTTGAAATGCCGAATTTTTGAAACTCTGAAACGCTCACAATGTCGAATTCACGGCACGCAAATCAGTGCAAAAACCTGCAATTTCCTATCACGAAAATTCGGCGTTATGAAATAGCTATTATGAAAATTCGACAATATGAAATGCGGCATTATTAAATTTGGAATTACAACGGTAAATATCGCTAAAAAATAACCGACCGTCACGAGGACTCCGCACCAGAACCAGAAGCGGCAGAAGCCGAGCCGACAGAACAGATGCCACTGCGGGCTTAGTAGATCCACGATAAAAGTTGAGCGAGAACATGGTCACGTCCATGAAGGTGGTCACCCTAAAAATTTCATGTTAAGTTTTTTAAACACTTTGTTGTCTTTTCCAGCCAGGACAAAAAAAATCCAGAACTCACCTGAAGATGGCGTTGAGCAGGTAATAATCGTAGTGATGCTGGCCGGGCTGTAGGTATTTGATTTGGGCGGGGAGGAAGGTTTTCCGGATGTTGCCGACGAGCACGGCAAACGACGTGATCATTCGCAGCAGCGAGAGGATCAGCTCGATCGCGTCGATGATCATTCGCCGCCCTAAAAACTTCAAAATTACAGAAATTTGGGAAACTGCTCACTTCCGCTCCTTCCTTGCCGCTTCCCTCAGCTGTTCGTACGGATGCAGGCCGCGTATACTATGATTTTGTCAAAGCCTGAAACGAAAGAGTTGAAAGAAGCGGATTTCCGGTTCTTTGCCAATACCAGGGGGGTTCCTAGGCGTTCTAATAAAATAATAATAAGTATATTAGTTTCGTTTTTAGTAAAATTACGCTAGCTTTCCAGCGATAAACTATCTAAAAACATAGGAAATGACTAAAAATGTGAGACTTTGGTGGAAATTAGCTATTTTTCTCAAAAACTCGCGATTTTTTCCATTCCGAAGTTATGGGGTTTAACAATATCAAAAAGAGGAGCTACACTTTCTCTCTTTATGTAAAAAATCGAAAATTTTGTACATGAAAAATTCGAAATTTCGGTCGCAATTTTTTGCTAAAAAAACCCAATATTTCCTTTTACTAAAAATTTCCACAATTTACGCGCTTCAAAATATGAAAAAATTTTTAAAACATTGGCATCTTTTATATAAAAAACTGGATCCTAAAGAATAAAGTTCGCTTCCATACAAATAACCGACTCCCCTACCTTCCGATCGTGCTTCTCCCTCCTGGCCGCCGCCTTCGGGTCCAGAACATCGTACGTGTTCGTGTAGTCGGGCTTCAGTATGTCCAATTCTCCTAAATCCAAGTTTTAGCGCAAAAAAATGCCCTACTCGGTGAGCTTTGTGTGCTGGCACTCCTGCCAAATTTCGGGATCGACGGCATTGATGGCTTGATGCCGGTCAACGCGGATTTGATCTTTTGGAAGGTGGTTCTAAAAAAGTTTACTTTTTTTGTAGTGGTATCTTACTCAGGCGGCTTCACCCATGGCGGTCGCTCCGGTTCAGGGTCTTTGGGTGAAGAGTTGGATTTTCGGAATCTGAAAATGGGCCATTAAAAGCGACGATTAAAAATCTATCTAAAAACGAAGCGAAAAATCGCAATAATCTTTTTGGACAAAAATATAGAAATTTCAAAAACAAAAAATTTAGAACAGAAAAATCGATATTTTGGAGATGGGTTTGATTAATTTCAATTCAGGAACAGCCAAAAACGTGAGAAACACCTCCTCTATTTCTATAAGAAACGTTGAATGCTAAAGAAAAAAAAATGGTTCTGCTTCCCCTCCCCCCCCCCCGATAATGCAAAAGCTCCAGAATACAAATTTGAAAAAGAAAAAGCGGTGAACAAACCATACATCATCAGCAATAATCTCAAAATGTCTCGTAAAAATCACAAAATTATCAATCAAAGCCCTACCGATTCCGAATGGCCTTCGGGACGCCGGGGACTTTGTCGAGCCACTTTGACGTGCTGTTCGTGTCCTTTCCTCTCCAGACTGGGGCACCTCGGTCTCCTCGGTGCTCAGGGAGGCCGTCAGGACGGCCGGGCGGTCCGGGGAGGAGTCAGATGAAGTCTCATCCTCCTTGGCATCTTCACTGACTAAAAACCGTTTTAGAGCACGTAAAACCGGGTAAAGAGTCTTGAAAATCACTTCTCTACGTACCCGTGTTATCCAAGCCAAACGTCACCCGTCCATTCTCCAATTCGACACTGATCCCTACGGGCTCGATGCCGACGTGGTGGCGGAACAGGGGCGGCCTTGGCTTCGGCTAAATATGGGCTCAACTTTGAAGCGAAAACTTACCAGCCTCCAGGTCCTTGTTCGAATCTTCGACGGCGGAACCGACGCGGACATATTTACGGCATTCCTCCTCCTCTTCTTCGCGGATTATATCGGGGATCGTGTGGCTAAAAGTGACTTTTAGATAAAATTGATGAGTACAAGTTGAAATGAGCAGCATTTATATAAATACTACCTCTTCCCATTATGTTTTCCCATCGTGTCGATCTCGTCTTGTTCCTCCTCACTATCACTGGTAGATGAGCTTTCGAAGCTCCTCTGACTTCGGCTCAACTTCTCCGCGTCGGGCTCGCTCACGACTTTGATTCCGTCGGCTTCTACGACTCCGTCGTTCAACCCGTTCGGTTTGTTCCTAAAATCCCTTTATTCCGCGAATTTTCTTATACTCACCCGTTCTAAAAATATCTTCTAGTGCTGCCTCCGCTTTTGTCCGGTTCCTCCATAGAGCATCGAAGGTAGATTTCCTAAAAACAACAATAGCTATTTAAAAGTATGCTAAGCCTTATATGTATTCCTTGGATATCGGGTCCGCTTCATCTTTATCAAGTTGGACCACAAGAGCAGGTAGTTCGCGCTGCGCAGCGACCCCCCAAAATGTGCAAGCATGATATTGCATCCAGAACCTAAAACTGCTTTAGTCTCGGCAGATTTTTGCGCACCATAACCGAGATCATCAACTCTTCCACAGCACAAAAAATACACACGCAGTTCGTGTAGAGCGAGACGCAAAAGTTGAGGTATTTAAAGCCGCGATTTATCTGGGTTTCTCCCGAAAAGTACCTGTAAACAGGCCATAAACAGGCGGTAGTAGAACCAAAACTTGAAGCAGAACCACTTCATCCTTGTTACTTTACGTCTGGCGCTCATACCGGAAGGTTGTGGGATTATCGCGGGTTGATGGAACAGGGAAAATAAGCATAAAAGCCTCGTTTTAGTGACCCTGGAGGGGGAGAACTTAAGCGTTATCAGTGGTATTGCGTTACAGTTTTTTAAAGAAATACTATACAAATCGAGGGAATGTTTCAAAAATGTTTGCCGTAACTCCTGAGCATCTAACTCCCAAAGGGTGAAGAAAAATAGAAAAATATGGGAGGATGTCAGAAACGCCAAAGCAAAAGCGCCAATCACTTCTTGCCCGCGAGGCAGGGCGCCAAACCTCAGCGCCAATGCCCAAAGCGCCCAATGCCAACACGCCCAATGCCCAAAAGCGCTCTATAAGGAAAACCAACGTATGGAGAGAGGAAACAATTACATAAAGAATAGAGATAAAATAGTTGTTTTAATAGGTTTTCTGGTGTTATTATGGTAGTTTAGCGGCAGTTCGTCCTACTAGGCCATAAATTACCGACTGGGTGAAGTAATTTTTGGCCTCCTAGGGCATTCTTTCACTCAACTAGCTAGTTTTCTTCTAAAGCTGCTTTTCCACTATTTTTGACGTGGTGTCTTGATCTCTACAATGCTCGAACCGGTCCGAATATACACATTTCTAATGTGAGAAGGTATAAAGTCGCCGTGGAAAGCTTGTTTAGTGCCATTTTCGGATCCATTACCCGGAAATGCCGGCGTTTTTCTCGTCGTTCTGGCCTCCAAACACTGTTTTATAACAAAGTATTTCAGGTGCTTGCAGCAGTATTGTGTTTGAAAGCACATCAGAAATCGATGAGAACATGAGGCAAACCAGTAAAACTAGAGACGCTGAAAACACGGCAATTCAAGCCAAAAAGACCCAATAAGGCCAAAACAACCCATCGGGGTGATAATTTGCCGTCTACAAAGCCTACCTATCGGTAACAACGTTTAAAAAGGCATACAAAGCTTGAAAAAGCCATTTTATGTAATTGTTTCTCTCCGCCCGCGTTGGCGCGGCCATAGAGCGCGGGGGGCATTGGGCGCTTTTGGGCGTTGGGCGCTTTTGGCGTCGGGCGCACCCGGGCATTGGGCGCTTTTCGTTTGGCGCTTCTGCCTGCGCGCTTTTAGTGATTAACGCTTTTGCTCCGGCGCCTGAGCATCCTCCCAAAAATGCGAATGTTTTGACCAAACTGCTCCCTTTTCGATCAAAGTCACCAAATTTCAAATCTTTAATAGCTTATTAAAAAGTTTTCTAAATATAATAAATTCAGCTCTCCCCGAAACCTAATATAACCAAATTTTCGTGAAAAATTTTTGATTTTCAACCTTAGGACGACGTCCGCCCAGAAAGATTCGACCATCACGCTGACTAATACCCCGGCCAATCCGATCCGGTTTCCCAGGCGCGTTACGGCGTGGAAAAAATTGCTCGGCGAAAAAAACACAACCAAAGCACGGTGACCGGGATTGGGTGGCGGAGGAGCCGAGAAAACAAGAACCGTCGAGGATGAACCGTGCAGCTGGAGAGCGGCCAGAGAAGAGATCGATCCAAAAACATCCACAACAACATCGCGCAGTCGGCCATTTTGGCTTTGCGAAAGCCTAGAGGAAACTCTTTGTTTTGAAGAGTTGAGGACTGCATCTGAAAAGTGCATCTTTAGAGCATCGAAGATGTCATTCTCTAAATTGCATTCTGACTACTTTAAAAAAGCATTGCCTAAGAAATTTAAGCAAATTTCAACGATGTCTTGGCCCAAAATCGACTAGATTCCTAAAATTATAAATCCTCTAACCTGTTTCTACATGTCCTAGCGTCTAAGAGCACATTCTCGTTTCTATTCTTCCTGCTAAAACTAT